ATAAGACCTTGGGATGGGACGGGAGAAGGAATAATGCCCAACCACTTGGACGTTTGGGGATTGAACTCTGACCTGCATGAAGCGAGACCGTCGCTCTACCGTCCAGTCAAAGTGGCTGGACTGAGTTTACTATAGTTCTGGACATAGTCCAGAACTAAATGTGTCACAACGGAAAGATTGATGATATTCTGGAGAGATATAAGAATTTTGCACCAAGATTGTAACCTTTTGTTAAATGTCTGAATGTCTATTGCAAATTGTCTATATATCTAGTCATAAAAATATTTGTGTGTACGTCTGGTAACATACTACACGTGTAAAGGAAGAAATGTATATGTTTATTACTCAGAATGTTCGGCAATATGTTTACAGTTTGTGGTGTGTCTATATATGTATGAACACGTTGTATTGAACGAGGTGAGAATAATTTGAGCTGCCTAATCCCTTTTTGTGTATCTTACCTCAATAAACTTATTTAAATTTCAATTTCAATGTAAACTTGTTGTTTTGATGTGGCCAAGTCATCCGCCACCTCGTTGAGTACTATTCCAACATAAGGTGGAATCCACATGAATTTCACTTTGTGACCTTTCAGCTGTAACTCATTTATCCTTTCTTACACCGTCGATTATTGTGCTGTTAATCATGATTATCCAACTTGGAGAGTTACTAATGGCTCTCCGTTAGTCTTCTGTTAAGCCGGTCTGCTGAGAGTAAGTAAACCGTGTTGTATTCTGAATCGATTTGTCTGAAATCACTGTCTGGCAAATGGCTGGAGAGGCGCTGATTCAAGGCGGTGATGACTCTTTTCTCCTACCAACACCCCCCTCCCCAACACCCCGCTATCCAAAACAAACTATTATAGTTTAATTGGTGCTGTAGGGCAGTTTGGGGACTTCTGGGATATGTCTGGTACTTTCAAAACTATGTAGTACTTTCATGATTACAATTTTTAATATATGAACTTGACTTATTTTGGATGAATACTTATATAATTAGGTTTAGGACAGGAGCCTGTTATGTACGATGAATTCTGAATTTACCTTTATGTTGAATATGTTTGCTGCTGATTCTCACACTTTGAAACTGTAAAAAGCTTCTTTCATCCACAGCGCTGCTATATCTTGTTGCGACTATAGCAAGAAGAAAATGTTGTAGGGGCGACAGCCAGCCAGCCAGTGTCCTTCACTCTGCAACACACCTAGTACACTGAGCTTCCCGGGACGACCATGAGATGTGTTTAGGAAAGCTTCCAATGAATTAAGGTGGTCAGTTTCGTAGGCAATTATATGAGGCTCTGCAAGCTCTTCCACTTACTTATCACACGCCTCTGTATGACTAACCATCTTGTGTGATGGGGATTTTTTAGTACAATGTAGCTAGCTTTTTGACACACTGTACTCCCCTTCGTATAGTCTCGGGTAGCTGCCCAAATGCAGATGTACCAATATATTAATAAAAAAACTTTTCCACTCCCACCCACAGGAATGGTATGCGCGCATAGTGAATGAACTAACACTACATGAGAATAGTGTTTATTCTTATGAAAGAGGTACTTACACATTTCTTGGACTCCATTGATCGTGTTATCTCTGAATTCCGCAATTTTTTCACTTGTCATTATGAAATGACGCAAAGGATGCGAATAGTTCTGCTGACAGAGTTTACATTTAGTCAAATCTACACCAGTAGATGTTGCAAACTCCCAGAGGTCCTTGTTGGCGAGCCTAAGCCTAACAATGGTAACATCTAGAACTCTGCTAGCCTTATTGGATGACCCGTAGACGTGTGGTTCTTCCTGCATAATATAATGATGATAGATGGAGTAACTGGTGTGAATTTCCCCTTGCCTGATCATGTGCCTCTGTAACCCTTTCCACCACCGCCCACGGGATAGTTGTTGTTGTTAAAGATTCGCTACCTGAAACAAAAAGTTTCAAGTAACACGGGCTATGGTGAGCCCGTGGTGCCTTACAAGGGATAGGTATGGGGGTGCATAATAAAAAAAAATAATAGTTCTTAATTAATAAGAATTACATAAATTAATAATGTATAATTAGTCGAATATTAATTCTTCTAAGTTCAGTTGTTCTTTCACTATCAGTGACGAAAATCATCCCAGAAGTGATGATCATCATCATCACAGAGGATGAGGATCTGGGAGAATCATAATCATCTCCCATACTAGTTAAGGCTGCAGGTCATAGAACTAAAAATTCCACAAACAAGACACATAAAGGTTAATCTTATTGTGACAAATCATGAACAAGTTTTAAGATCCCAAGTCCAGCTACAGTACTTAACTTTAAAACTGTGTAATGTGTAACTGTGTAACTGTGTAAACTGTGTAACTGTGTAATGCGACTCTCACAAGAGGTAACAGTTTCACATTTATCTAGCTTCAATATAGAGCAGACATAATGTTATTTCACACATAGGGTAACCTATGAAACCATGGACCATCTCAAGTTATAAAGAATAAAAGACCTACTCACAAACTATGGATTTCATATCCCCATGATGACCAGTAGACTGGTCAAGAAAATTAGGCATCCGCTTAATAGGTTACTCTGGCACATTAGAAAAGGATTTTAACTCTTCATTATTCATTATATACCAAGTTGAATGTGTGTGTGTAGACAGTGAGCATGATGTTAATTATTTGTGAACATTACACTTCTCTTATTTTTAAGTTTTTATGGGTTTTGGCCTTTATTATTATTATTATTATTATTAATACATTAGGTACATCTGCCTTTATGCAGCTACCCTAGACTATATGAAGGGGAATACAGTATCAAAAAGCTAGCCTGACGACAAAAGTTACATTATTCTGTTAAATTATCCTGTATAGAAGTACCGCAACCTCATTGAACCCGTATCCATGTAGTGAACAGGGATACGAGTGTCTTGATCTTTTTTATCAATCTTTCATGCCATTGTCTGTTACACACCACTAGCTTTCCCTGAAACTACAGTACAGTTCCATAACGCATACAGAAGTCAACTACAGCAGTGTATGGGTATAATTGATCTTCCATAACAATAATTAGGCTTTGGGATAAATGCCCAATACTAGAACCTTTTAGTTATTCAGCTGACCCTACTAATTTAATGGATAATAATATATATAATAAATAGAATAAAGAGGATTATAGTTTAAAAAATACTTGGGTAAAATTTTTGGTCTTTTTAAACACTTTATTGACGTTCTCTAAACACTAAAAAGGTTATATTCAGTTTATTGCAAAACTTATGGCAAAATATACTATGGTGATGACAGTTGACTGTGCAGTTACCATATATTAAGGCAGTGTGATTACTGTATTTATGAATAAGGATGCATATTACACGGAAATGGAAGCTATACTCATGGATATACACTTACTGGTGGTTATTACAAAACTGAGGCGTTAGGAGTTGTCTCATATGTCCAGTCTCTGGACGGCAAGATATATATATTCTGAACGTCAGTGGGAAATCATCATGGGAACATCAGTCACTGAACATAGAATGCTCAGTGGCTTATTTCCCAGGAACCACCAATCTGTAACATTTGATATTACATGACCGTGAGAACCACTAAGCACTGAAGTCTGGTACAGTATTTATTTGTAGACATTAGTAGCATGCTGTAGTTGGCATGCGTCGGTGGCATTTTCAATTGATTTGGAGATACAGGACTTGGTTTTGGTATCTCGAGACCAGAAACTGTTAAGTATGGTAGTTTTTTCTGGACACAGTTGCCCATTACGCAACTTTCCAGGTGTCTAGCCTTATGTGACCCTATAGCTCAAAAATGTTATTTGTTTTCAGTATATAAGCCTGAAAACAAAAATTGAAAATATATCAGATTTAGCACCTTAAATGTAACACAAAATATACTTTGATTTTATTTTTCTCAAGGCCCATAAAAAGTAAGTAATTATCAAAAGAAGGCACCAGGCTGGAGGCCCATGGAGAGATTAACATTATAATATGTATTATAATAGGCTTCCATTAGATACCCGACATTCTTCAATATAATTTTAGAGCATATTCAAAAAGTTCTCAATATGTTTGTAGTTTCTTTTTCTTTTTTCTATGGACTTGCACAGTCGCTCTAGATTTTTTCAGTGCCAATGTACCAAGATTGGAGATTTAACCATAGTGATATATACACAGTTTAATCATTCATGAGCATTTCAGTTTGCTTTTTAGAGTGTTTTTTGTTTTCACATTATCAATTTTGTATTAGTATTTGTTTGTTTTTATTTAAAAGTTAATAGATTATTATGGAATATTTTTATACTTTATATATATATATATATATATATATATATATATATATATATATATATATATATATATATATATATATATGATATATTCATTCGCATATAGTCCTGGGGACCATTCAGGCTTGTTCGCATATATATATATATATATATATATATATATATATATATATATATATATATATATATATATATATATATATATATATATATATATATACATATATATATATAGCTGAGAGAGATTATTCGTTCAGCATCACGTGAGCGATGGTAGAAAGGTTTACAGAGGTACATAAAGGGCCCAAGAATCAAACCCAATAGTTCATTTAGTTACGTAAGTGACAATCTTGTGAAGCTAGTTACACAGTCGTTAATATAACCTAAACATATTCAAATATATGCATACACAGACATATATGTAATACGAGGGAACTCATTAACTAACGCTCCATAACTCGGATGTTCTTATTGGTCGCCGAGATGAGATCAGAGTAAACCCAGGGAAGAACGGCAAGCAGTTTGTGAGAAACAGAATTTCCACATAATTTGTCGCAGAATTAAACAATCTTGTTTTTTTGCTGAATCTTTTCACTACAATGCTAGTGAGGAATATTTGTTACAATGGACTTGTGTTTATTAATTATTAATATAATGACAATAATTATTGTTATTATGATTATTTTTTTTTGTCATTATTAATTTTATGAGTTATCCTTTAGAACTTATAAAATATATTTTGTTATAGTAATTGGGGATCTTTGTCCTGTGATATTTCACTGATTCCATTTGTCTGCTCGAAGGCCATCCAGACGGCAGTGTGAGTGTTTTCCCAGCCTGGTATCTTGCTGAACGTTGCTATAGAAGACGGGTTGTCGTAGTTGACGTGGGCATTAGGAATGAAGCCCTGGCAAGCATATAGCCTCCCCATGACCTTGATTACCAGTCTACCGAGCCCCAGATTCCTGTAGCTGTCGTCCGTCCCCAACATGCCGATGCTTCCATACATGGTCGGTGACATCCAGGAGACAGGTGTTTCCTCATTTTCGGAGTAGGGCAGGTGCTGGGGGTCGAGAGGTGTCCTTAGTCACGCTCGAGTCGAGGAACACTCCAACAGATGGCAGATGCTGCGATAGTCTCCACGTGGACTCCAGCGGTTGGGTCTTGTTAAAGAGGCTCCTCTCCAGCAGGTGTTGGAGCCCAGTTTTGACAAGTTTACAGACACGGAATCCAGGCTTGTTCCTGAAAGCAAGAGTGAAGAATGATATGCTGGGTACAGGCTATTTCCTAGTTAGGTTATGCCCCCTTTTTACCCCCCCACACAGAGATCCCCAAACCAGCCTCTGTCGCCTCATCTGGTGTGATGGGTGTGTGGAGGTGTGGCGGTAGCAAAGGTAGACGCCGCCGCCGCCAGGTGAGTGACCACCACCCGTCATAGGCAACCTGCTCCTTAAACTAGTTGGCGGGAGGTATAGGCTTTCACAAGAGTTAAAGAGGCGCGATGGCCCACACACTCGCCCCCCCCCCCCACGAAGTCTCAATATGCTGGATACAGAGCAATGTTATTTTTTAAGTAAACAGCCAAAGGCAGCAAGCACATTTGTTGCCTGAGTTATACTCTCACAATAGAAGTAAATCCGCTGAGGGTCCATCTGCCATAGGCCCAGAAGCCGGGTCACTTATCGAGCTTACGTAATCCACTACTGGCTTAAATCAGGTGTAATTTCCTCCTAAAAATCTGAGAATGTGACATAAGAGAAAATCTTAAGAGTAGGACGGTGGGTCGATCCCAATATCTTGCTCCAAAGATTTTCTGGTATTGTTATTGTGAATTCATTATGTATTCTTATGCAGTTTCTCATAATTTTGGCATGCAGATTCATATTTACTGTTCCTTAATTTACTCTATTTCAAATTTTTAAATTAAGATTTAAAAATTAATTTAAATTTAAAATAAATATAAATATTTAAGTACAATTAAATGTAAAATTTTATTTTGCTGTCTAGGTTCAATGTCAAATTGCTAATAAAAGCAGTTTAAGTAAATTCTATAAATTTCTTATCTTGTTTATGGTAATGACCAGGGTTAGTCTTTATAAATGTTTTGATAAAGCTTGAGTGATAAGAAATTGTAAGGAACAAATTATGAAATCAAAAGGTTTTGTCAGTACAGCGTGCAACACTGCCTGAACATAACTAAATTGTAAAATGTAAACCACTGGCTGGTTTGGAGTTTTTATGCAAATTAGTAATTAAGTTTTTTTTTTTTTTTTTTTTTTTTATAAAAGAATACACAATGTACAAAACAGACACCCGCCGAACAAACAAGTTATGAACATACACAGGACAATATAACAAAGGAAGTAAACCACGGACACACTAAACATACCCAACAAAAACCAAGAAAGAAAACACATGACACAAGGCACACACACACAAAAAAAAAAAAAAAAAAAAAAAAAAAAAAAAAAAAAAAAAAAAAGAGAACCCAGCAACGGGGACAGTATGTACCACAAAAAAACAGAACATGACATAAATAGCACACAATAGAAATAACATAAAACATAGGCACATCCACACAACCTTAAGTACAGAAATACAAAAGGAGAACGCACATACAAGCCCAGCCCAACAACCCAAACACAGGTGCATAAAAGTACAGAACAACAGGCCTCCGAAACCCCTAAGAGGCAAAATTACAAAACTACAGTAAACAAAAAACATGGAAATACAGAACATGGAAAGTCAAACAGAAATAACTGAGCACATTTCTTTTTTCTTACTCCGTTTCCTCATGCATAATTAAAAAGACATAATACAAAGGCAGAACACAAAACACAAATCAAGAAAGAACAGATAAATAATACATAAATAGCACAAGGCAAAGTACATGGCACATAAAAAGAGAAATAACAATCAGTAATGGCAAAAAAACACTCATAACACAGGAACAGAAGTACATGAAAAGGGGGGGGGGTAGGACAAAACATAACCCGGGCACCCCAACCCCCACACAGAAAATCACAAAAGACAGAAGAGGCACGCTCCAAAGACATAGGAGCAAATAAGCATACATACCATAAAGAACAAAAATGCACAAAACATAAAACCCATACAAGGCAAACAAAAAGGCCCACGCAGGAGCCAGGGAAAACATAAAAAACCACACCCACACACAAGCACACCCAAACGAAACACACACCCACAGGAGCAACCACAACAGAAACAAAACAACCACACACACACACACACACACACACCCCGCCCAACCCCCGCCGAGGAGGCCCATCGGAGGACCGGGGACCGAAAACAAACCGGAACAAGACCCACCCAACCAACCCACAGCCAACATCCACGAGCCCAACCCACGACCAATCACTCAAAAGCAGCCCCACGAACATACGCACCAGTAAACCAACCACAAAAATCATCCGGAAAAGCACGCTGCAGCCACCACCAGGTGAACCGTAAGCGCCCTCTCAAAAACCCCAAAACCCTATCAACCCCATAACCCTCCCTCCGGCCAACCCACACACAATACACATAGTCAGCGACAAGAAGACAGAGCGTATTACGCACCCGTCGAGAGCCCCGCGGAAAAGACAAAAACAAAAACGGCAAAAAACCACCCCGACATCCCGGCCCACAAACCACGGCCAACACAGCACGAAACCAATCAAGCAAACCACTCAGCCTCTCACAAAAATAGAAAACATGTAACTGAGTTTCAGGCAAACCACAGTGGACACATGCGTCAGAGGCACGCAAACCCAGCATGCACAACCGGTCATTTGTCGCCAACGACAAATGCAACATGCGAAACAACAACTCCCGCTGCTGCGGTGCCAAAAACCGCGCCCCTAACGCCGCCCACACCTCCCCCCAATCCCAACACGGGAATAAAGACTCCACCCGCGGCTGAACACGACAAAATAGAACCCCATAAATCGCCTTCACTGAGAGAGACATATAACCCGGACAGCGACAGACAGCCCGAAGAATGTCTACCGCCCAGGAGTAAACAGGAGGGGTACAAAAGGCCACCTCCCGACAAACACCGCAATCCACCAAAAAACTAAACCGGACCGAACAATAAAAAATACACAAAGCATTGAGCCCCCCACCCAATGCTAAACCCTGACGCAACGAGACCCAGAACAGCGCCCGAGCCCTGGTAAACACATCAGGAATACCAACCCCACCTTCCCGCACCGCTAACACCAACGTCGAGCGACGAACCGGGTGGTAACGACCACACCACACGTACCTATAAACCTGACGTTCCAACCCCAGAGCCAGCCGGCGATCTAGGGGGAAACACCGAGCCACGAACTAGACACGTGACAGAACTTTACAAGTAACAAGCAACGCCCGCTGATAAATTGTTAACGGGCGCGCAGCCAACAACCCAACCGCAACACCAAGACTACGAGAAACCGCACCCCAATTAAATTCCAAAGATCTCTAGTAAGAAGCGAACCAGGTGATCCCCAGAACACGCAGAGAGGAGACCACCGGAAACCAAGACCCCTCCCACACAAGGCGAGAGGACCACCCACCGATACCCATAAGACCAGATTTGGCACGATTGACCTGGGCCCCAGTGGCCAACTCAAACCTCTCAACCACGACCTGGACAGCCCGAACAGAACCAGCAGAGGCCACGAACAGGATGGTATCATCCGCATAACCGCAGATGGGTAACCGAAGATCAGAAGGCAGCCGGGGGGGACGGATCAACGCACAAGCCTTGACCGCCCGAAAAAAAGGCTCCTGAAAGAGCACATAAAGGAGCATGGAAAGCGGACAACCCTGCCTCACCGAACGGCGGACAGGGAAAGGAGCACTCAAGAACCCATTGATGCAAACCCGACTGCAACACTGAGCGTACAACATACGCACCCAACGAACAAACAAAGGCGGAAAACCAAGCCTCTCTAACACACGAAAAACAAAAGCTAACGAAACACGGTCAAAAGCCTTAGACCAATCCAGGCAAAGCATCGCTGCAGACAAGCGAGAGCCCGACACGTACAGAAGCACATCCCGAAATAACGCATTGCACTGCAGTAACGAGCGACCTGGAACACCACAAAACTGTTCCACGGAAACCACAGACGCAACCACACGGCGACACCGACCAGCTAAAATCTTGGACAGGATCTTATAGTCCACATTCAACAAAGTAATGGGTCTCCAGTTCGAGAAGAACCGCAAATCGCCCGGCTTCGGGAGCAGCCGCACAATCCCAACGCACTGAGATACAGGCAGAACGCACCCCCGGAGGCAGGTCCGGACCACCTCCAAAAGAACATCACCCAACACATCCCAAAAGGCAACATAAAACTCGACAGGAAGACCATCCGAGCCCGGCACCTTCCCGGAACGAAACGACCTCACCACACCGAAAAGCTCCCCCAACGAAACATCTTCCTCCAAACCAACACAATCAGCAGCAGACAACCCCGGAGCACAACCACCCAAAAAACCTTCCGCAATCGTGTCGTCCCCTACCACCTCCCCATCGAGCGCAACCAGCTCTTGCCGCACATAATGCAACACACCACCGGTGTCCGAAACAACAGACCCATCCGGCCGTTGCAGAGCCGTAAAAAGAACACCGTCCCGCGCAGCCTTCACCTTCCCTAAAAGATAAGGAGAGAGCCGTTCCCCGTCAACACGTTCACTCACACGAGCACGCACACGAACACCCTCGGCCCACTCATTCCGCAAACCACAAATACGCTCCTTACACTCCGCAATCTCCCCAAAACAGTCAATCCCAGCATTGTACCGCACATACAACCGCGAAAGCCTCGCCTGGAACAACCGCAGCAACCCAAACCTTCCAGCAGCCTCACGTTTGGCAGCCACCCGAAAAAACAACCGACATTGCTCCTTACACCACTCCCACCAATCTAAAACAGAAGGAAAATCACACCGCCGGGCGAGAACCCCGACCCACCAAACCCGAAACTGCCCACAAACCCTCGGAGAACGCAACAACCCACAATTCAGCTTCCACCACCCCGCGCCGACCCGTACCTGACTGGGCACACCAACCCGGACCACCACGAGACTATGGTCCGAGAAAGCAACCGGGACAGTGTGGAAAGCAAACACAGAACACCCCCCCCCGCCAGTAACATACACGCGATCAATCCGCGAATGCGCCCCATGCGCAGCAAAAGTAAAGGACAACTCGCCCCCATAGAGCACAGCAGCATCCTTGAAACCGCAAG